TATAGTTCCCTATGGCTTCCAAATGTTTGTTCATCTGCTTACTTAAGTAGTCTTTATTATATACCCAGTGGGACTTGGAGCTAGTTTCTTTTGCTTAATTGCACTGGTCTACAGGACCAGTAGTTTGGTGTGTTTTTTTTTTTTTTTTTAAAACATAGCATTTGTAATTAGTTGGAAGAAATGGAAATAATAATTAGTGGGGTTTTTTTTAGTGTATAAGCTATTAGGTTGTAAGTTAGCCATGCATATGGAAGAGTATATTGAGAGCTTTACAAAACGCTGTTTAAATGCGGTGCGTGATTTGTAATCCTTGATTTATAGCCTTTTGGGGTATCATTAACCCTGTTGCTAATTCTGTGACATCTTGTATGTAAGATGAGTAAGTTCAGTGACCAGGGCATGAATTGGATGAGGCTTATGCGTAGCCATGATAATAGCTATGGAGAGACTAGTAATCTCATCTGATGAGAGCCATCATCTTTTGTAAGTCTTCCCGATGCCGTGTGACTTTTTCTTTTGGGCAATAGATGATGGATATTGAATAACCCTCCTGAACTTGCCCTCTGTGTTTGCAGGAGTGGGTGGTTGGGCCCTGGCCATTCACTTTCTTTTGGGTCAGGTGAAGAAGCAACAGGAAAATCAAGGTGTTTCCTCTGAAGTGCCAGAGGGCTAGACAGGGAATAAGGTCAGGGACTGTCTCCCTTGGTTTCAAATAGTCAGAGATGTTTTTAATCCTGTGGGTAGATTCAGGAGAAATATGGGGGGTATTTCTGTGTTTGAGAGCAAGAAAAAGGCTTGAGCAAGACTGAGAGGAAGCAGTACAGAAAAACAAATGACACTTACTCCCAGATCCCAGTAGCAAGGATTCTTGAGGTAAAATTCTGTTATTGAGGATATTATGAAAAAGGCTTGAGCAAGACTGAGAGGAAGCAGTACAGAAAAACAAATGACACTTACTCCCAGATCCCAGTAGCAAGGATTCTTGAGGTAAAATTCTGTTATTGAGGATATTACCCAAACTGTATCCCTTATACTGTCCTTGGAATTTCTGTGAATGTTGTCATTACATAGTAGTGTTGAAGTAGATAAAAACAGCTTTCTTCTCCCAAAACATATCCTTGTTTTCCCTGCACCAGTCTGTAATGGTTTAAGCACAGTCATCTACTTTGTGTGGTGTAAATAAAGCATGCCATGAAGTCATAAATCTAATCCCTCACAGTTTAACAGGGAAGCAGGGAATGACACGGTCATTCTTGTAGCGAAGAAGGTACAAAAATGTAATATGTCTGAAATGGATGAATTGTGCACTCTGTCATACTCATTAAGTTAATGTGTGTATTTGCCTCCAGTTTGGGATAGTTTCTTAGTGAATCAGAGTGAGTTTGTTTTGACTACTGTACCAATGAGTGGGGCAAGAGAAAATAAATTGCAAAGCAACTTCCCTGCCTCTTCCCTGCGCCCCCTGCCACCCCCCTTGTGTGAAAGTGCCCTGATTCTCCTCCCACCTGCTTGGCCTGGGAAAGCTCAGTCATCCTGGCTACCTGATTCTCCTCCTCTGCTCAGTAATGCTGTCTTGACTGCTGTCATGTCCTCAACTTCTTCACCACCCAAAACTCATTTAACATTTCTTGGGGTTTGTTCCTTGCCTACATGCTGTTCTGCATCCTGCTTTAGTCTAGAGGAGAGGTGACCTCTCTCTCCCCTTGCTAACTCTTTAATTTACTTCCCGCAGTTCTTGATGGTAACTGGGGATCGAGGGCTCTCCCATAACACACCCTGTGCCTGGCCCAGGATGTCCTTGAGCTGCCAACTGTGGGGAGCCCAGAGGCTCTTCTGAGAGAGCTGGTATATGCCTGCTGTATTCTTGCACTCATCCTCGGCTGGTTGCTTTTGGCCATGGTTGTGGTCTGGTTTGATTTGGTGTGGCTATTTTTGCCTTGTATTTTACTGGCTTTATTTGTGTAAAACTCATCTAGTCAAACTTCAGAACTCTATGCAGCAGATGGTTGGGTGTTGCCATGTTTAGCAGTTTTGTGATACGCTTCAGACTTTAACATAATTACTGCATTTTGTATGAGAAACGTGATTCAAAGCAAGCAAAAAAATATGTAACCTCTAACCATCACAGTATACTTAACCTTGCTGCTCAGTGTACTGTGGTGACTGGCTGTCTTGACAGAAGTCAGATCGATTTCACTCAGTACTATGCATGGAAAACATTTAAAAAATCAATTATTTAATTTGGGAAGCTAGTGTATTTTTCTGAACAAGGCAATTCTTATATGAGCTGGAAATGAAAATATAAAGGAAAAAGTCCTTTACCATGACCTTATGAACATGGGTATTTAAAGATCATTGATTTAATCCTGTAGTAGAAATCTCTGTGGAAAAAAAAAAAACCCACAACCAAAAAACCCCCCCAAAAAACAACCCATAAATCAAGCAAAAGGGAACACTTTTGCTGGATGTTTCAGTAGAGCATTGTTGGAATGGTCAAAGTCCAAAGTATTTGGGATGATCCTGCTGTTTGTGATGGAAGTGGAGTATGGACTGGTCGCAGTTGCTGATGGCTCTGTGTCAGGATACCTCTAGCCACGGTGAATATTACTATTACAACCTCATTTAAAACTTTGCCACCAAAATGGGAGCAGGGGGGAAAGTGAGAGGAGCAGAGGACAGTGTTGGGGTGCACAGAATCCAGTCCTCCTGACGACTGCGGTACAAGATACCAGAGCTGCGATGCTGGCTCATGGGACCATGGCTATTGGGAGGCTGGGGAGCATGGACAAGCTGTATAACATCTGAGCAGCTGTAATTTTATTGGCGCTTGGCCTTTAGAGAGCATGAGATAACTTGGGTTAGTGTGGTCTTACTGAAGTGTAGTAATAAAGGGGGGAAAAAAAAAAGGGGCGGGGGTCAGGGGGAAGGGGTGGGAGAGGTCTTCTACCATAAGCACTGCCTCTGGTTCTTTGTCCTGGAAGGTGTGGAGTAACTCTGAGCCGCCAGCAGTTTGACGTACTGAATTGACCTACCTGAGCTTCTTTGAGCACTGTAGTAGTGCCCATCTTGTCGGCTGTTCTGGGTGTTGGGGGCTGCAGGGGCCTTGGTGAGGAGGGGCCGGGGCTGCCCCGTGCCATCACAGCCGGTTCCGCAGGGCACAGCTGAGCCCCTCAGCCAAGGTGATGGCACCTCTGGGACGGTGTGTTTAAGAAAGAACAAAGTGCTGCACAGATGGGGAGGAATGAGGGGAAGAATGTGAGAAACAGCCCTGCAAGCACCCAGGTCAGAGGAGTTTCCCATCACTTAATTCACAGAAAAAAAATTCACCTCGGTGTGACATTTCTGTTATTTAGAGAGCACAGAAACAGTTTGTGAAAGCTTAGATCAAGAAATTAAGCTGTGCTACTAGGAAGCTCTTTGTGTTGTTTTTTTCCCACCTCTTCCCTTCATGGATAGATGCTGGAGAGATCACTGAATGAAGTATTTTAGGAATGTAAACCTGTTTCCCACTTCTTTTAGTAGTGTGATATGGAACGGGAGCTTTTTGGCTCAGTTGTCTTTGATGTGAAAGACATGCAACTTTAAATACTACTTTTGCCATCTTTGTAAGGGGGTTCATATATGCAGGTTTCTATACATCTTTGGTTTGCTCAACCATGTGCAAAAATACCAACTCCTCAGTTGAATGTAGACAGCGAAATCAAGGCTCCACATCAGGGCTGGCCTTCATTGAGGTTATCTGTAGTCCAGAGTAACTAGTTTAGCTACCTTAGGGGTTTTTTTTTCTGTTTTGTTTGTTTTTTTTTTAACAGCTGTCTGTTAAACTGGAGGTGCAAATAGGAAATGCAGTACTTGGCAAGAGTTGGTGGCTTTGCAATCCTCTGGAGAAGTCTGGATCTATAAAATGATGAGTGGGTTGCAATGAGGCATAAATATCACATTTTCATTTTGGACAGTTACAACTCTGTTCTAGTAGTTTTTTTTCTGTTGTATAAAGAAAAAGAAAATACATATTTTGCTTAGACCACAGACAGATTACAAAATTAGTACCTTTAAATATCAATAAGCAGAAGCATGTGTAACACTTTGTTTAGCACAATTATTCAGAGTTGCACAGCTCAGATGAGCAGGAGTGCACTTTCTCTTTTTCATTGGTTTAAGAGAGGAGAGAACACTAGACTGGAAACTGGGTGAGGATTTGCAAAAATAGAAACCAATTATTTTTGTCTATGCCTCTGATACTGTTTTCAGCTTTTCCCCTTTGTTCAAAACAAAGTATATAATCTAGCAGTTAGTGATCATTTGTCACCTAAAAGCAGTGTTTGATTGGTACTGAAGTCTTGCTTTTCATGTTCTGCCATCCTATGACCTGTGTGTCAAGACCTTCTCTGCCAAAAAGTGCATGTACGCTTCAGATCATGAGCAACTTCTTGAACTATTTAGTAGTGGTTAACTCAGCCAGAACTGATGGTTAAACTAACCTGCATGGGAATGGAGCAGACTGCTTTAAGCATGAATTTCACTGCAGTAGGACGGTTAGAAATATTTGGGGTAACAGTGAAACATGAACACTTGATTCTGCCCCCCGCCCCCAGCAGCAGCTGTCAGTGAAAATGTTTTTGGGGTAGGGGATACTGTTTGAATAAATAATACTACTTTGAATGGTGTCAAAAGCCAAGAAAGGCATTAGGTTATACCTGCCCTACTGTTGGAGAAAATGTATTGCAACTACTGTGGGCACATGTGCCATACAGGGGTGTGTAGTGGAGACGCCAGAATCTGCACTGAAGCAAGATGTGTCCCTAGGCAAGTGGATGCAGCTTTTGCTGATTTGTGACCCAAATTAATATGTCTGCACAAGGTCCTGTTAAAACTCATGTCACTGCTAGTTCATGTGCACGTATACTGTGCTCCATTGCATAGTCCAGAGATGCCTTGCCGCATTTTGGATGCGCTTTTCTTATATTACAAAACATGATTTCTTTCTGTTTATTCTTCAGGCAACAAGAGCCTCTCTGACTCAACACTGTACCAGTTTGGGGGAGTCGCTGGGCAAGGAAAACGATATTGCTCTGATTATTGATGGCCACACACTGAAGTATGCCCTTTCATTTGAAGTCAGGCAGAGCTTTCTGGACTTGGCACTCTCCTGTAAAGCGGTCATTTGTTGCAGGTAAGAAATTCTGGGACTTTTGCTTGCACCAAAATGGGCACAAAGCCTGTGAAACCCTACCTAGTATGTTAACTTTCCTTTCATGCTCATAGTGCTTACAGGAAATACAGAAATAGGGGAAAGTAGTGTGATATTCAAGAGGAAGCAAGCTGCAGTGGTGAGCCGCTTGATGATACAATTGGTTTCTCTGCTGTGGAACTATTATGAAGCGAGGCTGTGCTGGGCGGAGTAAAGGAGGACTGTAGAGAGGTATTCCTCTTATACCATAGGCAGGTCTGTGAAAGTGTTCATAAGACTGATTGACAGGCCAACAAAGTTTAAAATTTCAGTTCTTCCTGTCCTCCAGGATGCTCTACAGTGCAGCAGTAGAACTTGTGCTCCTTCAAGGTAAGCATTCAGTCAGCTGCATGCTCTGTCCTGGTGGTAGAACTCTGCTAGCTCTTGGAAGCAGTCTCATAAGTATGCTGGAAAGCAACTTGGGTATTAGTTTTTGTCCTGCTCCTATGGAGGAGGAAGCAAGTCCTTCACTAAAATGAAGTGCTGTCTAATAATGCAGTTCCCTCTGCCACAGTCAGTCCCCGTGGAATCTAATCTCTTTTATAAAATGACAAAAGATCATGAGAAAACATTACTGATTGCCTGGTCATAGTAGACACTGATGAGAAGTAGTGGGTAGGGATTTGTAGGGTCATTTGTAAGCAGTAGGAATTGGCTTTGGCTAGCAAGAAGTTTGTGTGACACTTCAGCTCTAGAGAAGGTCTCCGGATGAATCCGTCTTGAGTTTTCAATTATGTATGCTATGTAAGAATGTGTGTAACAGTACAATTTGCCCTATTTTAAATGTTAGGCTACCACTTGCTTTACTAGGTCAGAGCAGAATTTGATGCTGTTTGTGGATTTAGCCATACACAGGTGCGGTCCTATGGCATGACTACTTCAGAAGGAAGGAAATGAGCCAGAAGAAAATGAAAACCAAAAGCTGGCCTGCTTCACTTTCTGCATAGAATCATAGAATGCTTTGGGTTGGAAGGGACCTTTAGAGGTCATCTAGCCCAACCCCCCTGCAGTGAGCAGGGACTGCTTTAACCAGATCAGGTTGCTCAGAGCCCCATCCCACCTGACCTTGAATGTTGCCAGGGATGGGGCATCTACCACCTCTCTGGGCAACCTGTTCCAGTGCTTGACCACCCTCATCGTAAAAAACTTTTCTAATGTCTAGTCTAAATCTATTCTTCTTTAGTTTAAATCTGTTATTCCTTGTCCTGTCACAACAGGCCTTGCTAAAAAGATTCTCCCCATCTTTCCTGTAGGCCCCCTTTAAGTACTGGAAGGCTGCATCATTTTTCACTTTGAAAAATTATGCAGCTTTGAGGACTGTGTGTCTTTCTGCATGTGTGTCTGCTCGTTGCTGGTAATTGGAGAGAACTGTGACCTAGAAGGGATTCTTGGTTTAGGCAGACAGGAAGTTTTGTCTGCATCCTAGAAGCAAGACCTGCTTTGTGGGGAAATTACTATATGGAGATCTTGTACTACTGTCTTGCAGCCTTACTTATCTTTATATATGTGCACACTAGCTTGCAAATATTGCATGGCAAAAGCAATTGCAGTCCATGCACCTGAAGTAGATGAACCCATTGGCTTTTTCCATCTCTGACTAGTTTCTTTCCAAGTGCTGGGACTCTTGGACTGGTGTACTGCAGGGTGCAATACCGGGGCTAGCACTGTTCAATGTCTTCATTAATGACCTGATGATCAGATGGAGTATGCCCTCAGCAAGTTTACAGACCATACAAAACTGGGAGGAGTGGCTGATACACCAGACGGTTGTGCTGCCATTCTGAGGGACCTTGACAAGCTGAGGAACCGAGCAGAGAGAAATCTCATGGAACTCGAGAAGGGGAAATGCAGAAGTCCTGTATCCGGGGACTTACAGCCCTGTGCACCAGGAAATGCTGGGAGTTGCCAGGCTAGAAAGCAGCTTTGTCCAGAAGGATCGTGGAGTCCTGGTGGACAAGCTGACCATGAGCCAGCAATGCGCCCTAGCAGGAAAGAAAAAAAAAAAGGCCAACAGTATCCTGGGCTGCAGTATGAAAAGCATTGCCAGCAGGTCGAGGGAGGTGATCCTTCTTCTCTACGCGGCACTGGTGAGGTCACATCTGGAGTACTGTGTCTAGTTCTGGGACCCTCAATACGAGATACAAACAGGTTTAATGGAGAGAGTCCAGTGCAGGGCCATGAAGATGATTAAGGAGCATCTTTCATACAAGGGAAGACTGAGGGAGCTGGGAACGTTCAGCCTAGAGAAGAGAAGGCTCAGAGGGGGTTCTTGCCAATTTATACAAATATGTAATAAGAGTGAATGAAGACGAGGGAGCCAGGCTCTTCTCTGTGACAGGACAAGATGCAACACACAAATTAAAACCTATGAATGTCCATCTGAGCACAACCCCACACACACTATTTTACTGTGAGGACGGTCCAACGCTGGAATGGGTTTCCCAGAGAGGCTGGGGAGTCTTTGCTCTTAGAGACATGGACAATGCAACTGGGCAACATGGTGCTGGACAACCTACTCTAGCTGACCCTGCTTTTGCCAGGGGTGTTGGACTAGCTGATTTGCAGCAGTCTCCTCCAACCTGGGTCATTCTAGGATTCTGTGACTGGGGACAAATGTCATTTTTTCCTTCAAGTGCTCTTTGTCCTTTACTCAGATCCAGTTCTAAATGGTTGTCAACTGCAAAGACTTTCCTAAATTGGTTCTTTTAATAGCATTTTTTTTGCTACTGGTGATTGATATATTTTTTCCCCCCTAAATTTGGAGGGGGGGAGGGGTTGTAGAGGGAGAGGGCATGAGTTGTTAGAGGAGGGGTCTCACTTTTGCAGCTGTTTCATGGCAGTGAACAATAAGTGTTCTGCAAGAGGGAGCTCACACAATTACAGCAATCTTCTCTTGAATGCAACAGGCCCAGATGTAGGGACAGTAAAAAGGTCAGTGTTCTCTTCTTTGTGTGAAGTTACCTTGGGCTTAGACAGCACCAAGTGCCCAGCAAGGGAATTGACCCTATGTTGTAGACTTACGTTGTTGTATTTGTGGGGAATTGAGCAAATAGAAAGCTCTTACTTTCATACTCTGTCACAGTGCTTTGGTAGAGATCCTTCCAAGGCAGTTTGTTAGCTTATTTCTCAAAGATTTGACAAGCTAGGTCAAAGACCTGTGTAGCTGAAACAAATCATAAATTGCAAATTATTAAAATTATACTACATTTATATGTAATTAACTGAAGATAATGCATGGTCCTGTTTTACAAGGAAACGTGTAATACTGGACACTTCCTCTCCTGTTATTTCGTGACCAAGCCAACAGCAGTTTTAATTGTTAGTGAATTAGCAAATTGAGGAACAATGCAGGAAAAAAACTGTAAAGTATAAATCAAAGGGGAAAAGATGATCTAATTTCATAGGCTTAAAAAGAGGAATAAAAATAACTGAGTTTTAAATCCCCAGGGAAAAAGAAGAATGCCTTTAATAGCCTTTAAGGCTTTGCAGGAACCTTCCATTTACTTGCCAGGTGCTTGATACTGAAGAAAGAAGAAACTTTTTTTTCCTACTCTGGGCTGGTTTTAATAGTACTTTGTGTGTCAAATAAGATAGTGCACTTAAACTTCACAGGAAAAAGTTTTAAAATGTAATTGGCATAGCAAGAGGAAATTTCCAATTAAATTGTCTTCGAACAAAAATGTTAATTGGGAAGGGGGATCTGGGCCTTTAAACTTAGTCGTATGATGTTTAGCCACTCTAGGAGGAGTTGTGTTACTATTCTCAACATAGCATAAATTTGTTGGACTTAATATTTCATAAATTTACTACGCTTTCACTTCCTCTGGGGAGTTTCAGCTGCATTTGCCTTTCAAAGATTTTTTTTTTTTTTTAAATATGCTTAAGATATACTGTATATTCATTTGCTGGGCTTTAGGCATAAACTGTAGTTGAACTTGATTCTCAGGGGTAGTCTCTTAAAATGAAACTGTAGTAAACCTGGCCCCATTTTGCATTAAGAGGGAGAGATGGTATCTTCTGATGGCGTTAAGTCTTCCACCGTTACAGTGTCTCTAACGGGCCACTGGCACAGCGGAGGAAAATATACCCCTCTGGAGACCTGGTGAAGCTTGTAAAATCAAACCAAACAATTCTTTCAGAAAAAGGCTTGTTTGTTAAAAGTTTTTCCAGAGACTGACAGATCTTATTATCTCCCCTCACACTGACTGGGATGTCAGTATGCAACCAGTCCAGAGCAAGCAAAACTTACTTTTCAGTGGAAGTAAATGTTGTTTGGGTGGCAGTTGAACTCATTACTTCATTTATGAGATGTGAGCTGTTGATTGCTTGTCTCTGGTTTTCAAATGTTCCTTTAAAGGACCTGTTTTTATTGATGTTTTGTGATAGCAGCAAAATGTTAAGGCTTAGGTAGAAGCGAGAATTTTATAACAAAATTGAGTTTTATCATTAATCTAGTGTTTACACCTCTTAGCTAGTTTGTACAGCAGACCTTATAGGAGATGGTTTGGGACTTCATAGCAAAAGAAACAAATACCACCTTCACCCACCCACCCCCCTGCCCCGTCTGACTTTTCAGAGCTACTGTTCAGAACTGTATTCCTAAATGGAGAAGATCAGCTAGCATACAGTGTTTGCATGGTAGTCGCTTACCTCAGACGTCCGCTGTGTATAATTTGGAGCAGTGACCGGCCAAAGTTTTATTTAGCTATTTCATGGCAAGTTGTGAAAAGTTGCTTGTACAGGGAAGTTCTATTGCTCTATCCTGTCCCTCTAAAAAGACACTGGTGCTTCACTGGATCTGATGACATACGTTCCGCTTAAAGGTAATGAAGGTGCTTTGACCAGCCTCTTCTTTTCCTACACTTGCTGCATGAGGCCATCTCTATTAGAACAACACCTCTGCTTCCTGGTATGTTTTCTAATTCTGTATTCATCTGCTTCTG